CGGCATCGCTGGGGTTTTGCATGCTGTTGCCCTGCTTCTGGGGGCCGTTTGATTTCGCTCTGGCGCTTTTTATTACAGCCTGTCCGGGATGAATCAGGAGAGTGCTGAGAAAGGGTCAGACGACCTTTTCACAGCAGCCCCTCCTGTTCAGAGGCTGGGTGTATCGCTTCGTGTTTTCTACATAGGATCAGAGTCTCTGGAGTTTGTGGTTAAAGTCAACATAGTCTCCGCTCCCAGTCATGTCCGCATGGGAAAGCGAGGCCAAGTTAAAGCAGAGGCTTCGCTGCGGGAATAAAGGATGTACTGTGAGCTGCCATCCTTCCCCCTGCAAATCGCAAAGATGAAATCTTTCAGCCCTTATAACATAAATAGTAAATGCTGTTTATTTGCTAAAAGACTCGAGCAGTGAATCAATAATAAACTACGAGAAGAAATAAAAGCCCTACTCTTTAACAGCCATTAGATGCTATGCAAGCTGCGTCTTACGGCATGCCTACTAATTCCACTTTTACCTACAGTCACGTTAATGCATTTCCTTTGGCACTTGGGTCTGCATAGTTCTGTTTGCGGTTCCATTGCAACTAGAAACCTGAATGCATTGGGACTATCCCATCTCGGGGATGCAGAAAGGACTAGGATTTTCCAGTGCTTGGAATGTAAAAAGCAGATGTGAGGCCATTTCCAAGAGCTGCTGGACTGCCACTCACCTCCTATAGAAAATCAGTGACATGGACATTTCTTCCATGACCTCCAGAGAGATCCCCAAAAGTGATGTGCTGAAGACACCCTTGCTGGCAAAGCTACTTCCCTTTCACACAGCTTTGGTGTCCTTTCACTTTTATTGTGGAAATTGAGTTGCATCAAGAATAAGGCCTCTGCACTCATGGAACAACTCAAGTTTTCTAGCCGAGCAGTACTTAAGGGCCCCTTATATCGGCCGTTTCTCTTGCATTGCTTTGTGCTTTTGGGTGTGGCAGACTGAGCAGCACAGCTCAGATAAATAGATGCAAGCTGATTCAGCCAAGTCCTGTTGTACAGTCTGGGTCAACTAACGCAAACTCAATACGGAGAAAGAGCAGACTGAAAAAAGACATGAGTGAGAGGGGTTCCTGGCTTCAGCAGCCATTTTCATTTTAAAAGATGCTTTACGCATTTCCAGCCTAGGAAAAGATGTAGAAATACTTGATTTGGCAAGTACTTGGCAGTACTTGATTTTGAATTTATTTGGAGTGGAGACCAAAGCCTAGGTAATTCTTTTGCTCGCATTAAATTTTTTGGTGTGCAACAGCTTAAGCTATGCTCTCTGGAAAAAAGATTTATAGTTTTAAACTCGCAGCGGTTGCAGCCGCCTCTTTTTTGACGAGCTCTGCCCCCTCGTGGTGGACGGCCAGGTCGGGTGGGGAACCAGGCAGCTGGAGCGTCCTTCTCAGGCGCTCGGATGCTGGGCTGCTCCTGTGAGCGAATGCCCTGAGAGTTTGCTGATTTCGGTATGCTTAATGCTTTTGTGTGAAGTGGCCAGGTGCAAAAAACAGAGCAAATCAGTATTACACATAGATCTAAATGGAAAAATATCATCAAAAACCAGGTAATCAGTGCTGTAAGAAACAGAGAAGTCTTTGCATGATTATCTGTTATGCGCTCCTCCAAGCAGTCTTCAGTTCACGTTCAGTTAACATTTTTAAAGGTGGCCGTCTTGATTAAAACAATCCACTGCTTCCTTACCATTTTCCAACTCTGGAGATCTGAGATGATGATTGGAGCAAGCAGTCGGTCACCAGACGGGAAAGAACATTTAATCTCAAAACTGTGGGGAGTGCGGTGACATCACCAGCATGTGCAGATTCCCACTGACACTATTTCTGTGCCTGCTCCCGCTGGCTTTGACACAAATTGGCTCCTCCCTGGTGTCCAGGGAGGAACGCTGCGCTGCACAAACTCAGTATCGAAGGACGGCGAAACCAGATCTTACAAAGACAAAGTGTGTTAACATATAGTTTGGGCAGGCAACATTTGACCTTTCATAACTACTTTAACGTTATGGAGGACAACAGTGTTCAGTTCTTCCATGCCCGTATCTCCATTGATATGGATGGGAATCCTGAGTACAGGTTTATTGCACTGCAGAGCTTCCCAAATCCGTATCGACATCAATGTGCTTTTAAAGTGCATTATTTAAAAGCCACTTTGGCACTGTGGAGTCTGCCTTGCATGAAATGATTACTGTAACAACGTGATTCTGCTCCAAAGAAAAGGTGATGGAAGAAAAAACTGTTAGCCTCTGCTCTGTATGAAATGCAAAAGTTTATCTACTTTAAAAAAGAAAAAAGGACCAAATTATAGTAAAAGCTTTTACCAAGACAGTCATACAAGCAGTGGTGGGATAGGAAAAAGTAACTATTGAAATTTAACTTTTTTTGTTGTTGTTTTTGTATTGGAATGTTTTGAATCAGAAGACTGATTCAAACCACTGTGGTTTTAATCCTTGGACTAGGACAATTTCTGATCCTCTTTAGGAGTTAATGTTTATGCATTTTTTTCATAAAATAATTGAAATCATAATTTACAGTAAATTCTGCTTGCACTTTTAATTTATCTTTGAAATTATTTTATATTTTTTCCTACTTTTTCCTCTACTGGAACTGTGTTCTTGTTGATCCCGAAAGAGCCATTAGCTTGTGCCACAAGTTTTGGGGGTGGGGGGCTAGCCTCAGAGGTAATGGAGAGTCAGCAAAATCTGTCATATTTTCCAGTATAATGGAATGTGCTTACAAGGCCCCAGCGGGGTTCCTGGGCGCGACGGGAGCCCTGGAGTCAACGGGATCCCCGGGACACCCGGCATCCCGGGGCGCGACGGCCTCAAGGGGGAGAAGGGAGAGTGTATGCGAGAGAGCTTCGAGGAGTCCTGGACACCCAACTTCAAGCAGTGTTCATGGAGTGCATTGAATTATGGCATAGATCTTGGGAAAATAGCAGTAAGTAAGCTTTGCCAAAGATGCTGTATTTTACCAACTACAGCAGTACCACAGCAGTTTATAAATTTAACTCTGCGTACCGCATAGCACAAATAACACACATTTCCCATTGGAGCCTTTTTCAGCGTGCGAGGGTGAACTTCTCAAAGGTTTACCTCAGGTCCATCTCAAGTATGTGTAAAGAGCTTCCAACATGTGCCCAGTTGTTTATTTCTGTCACAGTGTTTCAAAAGAATGATGTAGCTGGTATAAGAGTACTTTTAGAAGACCACGCTCAGTTTTTCACATTTGAAACTATAGGGCTGGAAGTGACACTACCTAAAAAGTACCTCCATAAGTAGGGCAAGACTTTTACCACATTATAAAGGGCAGGAGAGACTTACATCTGTTAATTGTACTTGTCTTTATAACTTCTGCCTCAAAACGGACATTCAGAAAAACTCTGTTGTAAGGTATTACTGCAAACAGGATCAACATCATTCGGAATTAATGTCTTACCCAGTCTGACCAAGTAGTCCATCCTCTGCTGCAGTATAGAGCTTACTAACAGAATGGTGCAAGCCTAGCAAGAGAGTTAGAAATCCCAACCCAACAGGAGCAATGAAGCAGTGCAAGGAGTTGAGTGCAGCTTTCAGATAGCTCATGGCACTGTAAATAAACCCCGGAAGGTAACTAGGTTACCAACGTACCAGCAGCTATTTTCTAATTAAAATTAAGAATTTCAATAGTCCCCCTTCCCTGCAATCCTCTCTCTGATTTGCATCATACTGTATTTGCTAGGCACTACTTTTTTTTTTTTGGGGGGGGGGAAGCACAGAAAGAATAAAGACGATACATAGTCAAAACATTCTCAAAACCATTCTAGGAAATAGGTTCAAAATCAGAAACTGCTACCAAAACATTTTTGTCCCCTCTTAGGAATGTACATTTACAAAGATGCGCTCTAACAGTGCTCTTCGAGTTCTCTTCAGTGGATCACTTCGGCTAAAATGCAGAAATGCCTGTTGTCAGCGCTGGTATTTTACTTTTAACGGAGCAGAATGTGCTGGGCCACTTCCTATTGAAGCCATAATATATTTAGATCAAGGAAGTCCAGAACTGAATTCTACCATTAACATACATCGAACTTCTTCAGGTATGTATGCCAAGATCGCATGAATAGAAATACGTTACTAGCTGCTGGCAAATCCAGTTAACAAATGGGTAGAGCGCAAAGATTCTGCTGTAGAAAGTCAAAAGACTCAAGAGGCAGAAGGGTAGTCAGTTAATACTTGTTTTGTGTTAAAATGGACTATCAATAGTAACAGTACTGCAATTATTTATTAAATAGTTCTTTTTTACTATGATATTTTTCACGATACTTTACATCCTGCACTTTGGAAATGGAAGAGGTTTCTGTCTAGAAATTCTACTGATCTCTGATATAATAACGTGAACGTAGAGACATGCTATGCTGTATTAGCACGTGGTAAAATTGCATTACTGCCAAAAAATATTATCCTGAATTAAAATAATGCTATTTGCACAGTTATCTGGGCAGAATTAGACTAGACTTAGTCCTCCTGGAATTTCTACCATAATTTTCAGCTGAGATGCAAAAGTGAAATTACTTATTGGCTTAGCATAAAACAAAGTAGTGAAGTCATTCCAACATTAAAAAGTATGATACTCTTTAGGGGGTAAAGGGGGTAAATATACTTGCATGAAGTCTGCACTGCTTTACCTTTCTGATGGTTGCTCCTTATACTCTGAGAAGCATCTATAAAACCAAATGTGTTGCATTAACTTAACAGACTTAGGGCTATGAATACTCTTCACATTACATCCGTGGTTTCAGCTATACTTTGTTCTCAGAGCCCAACAGATTTCTGCCTAGAACAAAGCTAAAATATTGTGAAGCCAGCAGCGCAACTCTTTACAAAAGACCATTTTCCTTCCTGTAGTATTTTATGACAGTAATAAGTACAGCTTCTATAGCTATGATAGTTTTTTTTTTTTTTGCATCAAGGAACATGTCTGTTCTCATTAACCCATCTCCAACTAGTGGTGCCAGTGGAAAAGAAAGGTGATAGCAGCGGAGCATTACACAGAAACAGGGAAGTAGGACTGGAAGATTACAGGGTGGCAGGCACTTTTGCATGGCTAGGCTGTGGAAGCCAGGTCCAGCTGTTGCCCCCCCTCCCACCACCACCTGTATTGTTTCAGAAAAGATAACTGGATGGGACTGAAGCCATGTCCCAGCTACCAGTTTGTAAACTTAAGCATTTAGAGGAGATACACCTCCCATTTGGCCATCCTGAGGATTGCTGACTGCTTCAGGTAATGTAACAGAGGCCAAAAGGAAGCATGGACTCTGTTCCTGTTACCTCAGTATTTTTTTCAGTCTTTTTTTTTTTTTTATTTCTAAAAATGTTATTCAGATTTAACTAAATAGCACAAACTTGGAATGAACTGCTGCTCTTAAATGTTTGTATCCAGCTTCAGTTGTGAAATACATGATTGTGTCTGCTCAGGTTAACACAATTTTTGTCTTTAAACAGTGGAAGGTCTGTGTGAAGGGATCAATGCCGGGTTGGTGGATGTTGCCATCTGGGTTGGGACTTGCTCAGATTATCCAAGGGGAGATGCTTCTACTGGATGGAATTCAGTCTCCCGTATCATCATTGAAGAACTGCCAAAATAACTTCCCAAGCCCTTTTTTTTTTTTTTTTTATAACCTCTCCCTAACTTTTTTTTATTATTATGTACAATTTTCTTCAAAATTTATTTCTATAGATTTGGATGCAAGTAACTGGCTAAAAGGCACCAAACTCTTGCAGCTGCAGTGTTTTGCCTAACCTCTTTATGGCACACTGAAGAGGCTTTTATTAGAATAATTTTAGAATATAAATACTAGACACATATTAGTTTCCTTTTTTAATTCATTGTTTGGATTGTAATATGAACATGTATCACCATTTTTAAGAGTTGTAACTAACTTTTTTATATCAAATAAATAAGACCTTTTACAAAAAATTCAGGTTATTTTATTGGTCAGCAAACTGGTTACGGTATTTCCATAGTATTACAGTGGACAACGATGGCTTTAGAAGACTTCAGAGAAAGCTCACATCTTAGCCTAAGCCTTCAAAACACATACCCAAAATCTACTCCTGTGAGCACGATTGCAGGATAGGATGCTCTGCTATTAAAAGTCTTAAGGGTCTGAACAAACTCCCGCTGACTTAACTGTGAGCAGACCATGATCAGTAAGCATTATATACCTCATTTTGAAAAAGTAAGTACAAACACTGTCGTTAAGTTTTCCTTCCCCTCTTTGCTTCTAGATGGACTGGATTTCAATATAAAAATCCGTTATGACTCTCCACTACAAGCACGCAAATACTACATAATTTTACCGTTATAAAACTTAATTTCCTTTCTCCACTAAAATAACTAATTCTCCTGAATTTAGCCTGTCAGATATACCCAATCACTTTGGTGTTAATTAAAAACTAGATATATTAAATAGTTTAGAAGATTATGGATATAAGGTTGAGAAGCCTTGGCCTTCAAGAAGTGTACTGGTAAACTGAAAGAATGATGTTACAGATACTTGACTGCAGTCGCAAGACTGGATAAAAAGCGGTAACATCGATCATGCTGCATCTCCTAACTAGCACAGTATTGGCAGCACCATTTTAAGTGTTCTGTTCCAAATACAAGTGATAGTACTCAATTTTTTTTTTTTTTTAAAGTCATGCAAATTCTAAAGGGAAACAGAGTCATGTTTACATTACAAAACCAAATTTAATTAATGAAATAAAAAACAAGTAGAGAAAAAGCATGTATAACATGCAGAAGTATAAGCTCTTTCAATAAATTAAAAGGAAATAAATTACTTATTACAGATTTAATGTATTTCAACTAGTCATTACAAAACCACGGCTTTTTTTCTGAACAGGCTGTAAGATTGTCCCCAGGCTTTTTAAGCAGTATTAAAGGAACACACCTGAAGCTAGGAAAGCATTCAGGCTTTCCTCACTGCAAGCATGTGTGTGATACTGCTGTAATCCAGCAAATTATATAGCTGGTATTTGTCTCTGAAAAACCATCACTGTTTTCATTGGCTTGGACGATGGGTTTTAAGGTATCTGAACACAGACAAGTAACTGTGAGCTAAGCTATGGTATGAATTTACAGGATGTCAGTGAACATACAGTACTTGATTGTATACATGCTTGTAGCCTGTCTTTGCATTTATCCTAGAGCATGAGTAAGCTGTCCTGGGTATAGAACATAGTAATCCAGGGTAGTAAGTGCATAACTTCTGTTATTTTCTTAGATTTATTTGTATGTCTATAACTTCACAATATATTTTGCATCTTGGATGGTGGAGTTAACGCAAGTGTTCCATCAAATTCCTTCTACATACCAGAAGACACAGAAAACCAAGTGAAAACTGTCTTAAGGCACAAAAAGTTAGGATTAGTGATCTAAACAGTAATTTACATGGTAAGTAAATTTCTGTCAAATACACATGAAAGCTTTTATAGTAAAAAACAAGGTCAGCCATAATGGCCACATGCCCTCTCAGATGAGATATCATAGTATATTGTCAAATGCATCTGTATAGGACATGGGATCAGTGGAAAAGAAAGTGTGAATTATTAAAAAAGTTAAACATACAGAAACATATCACATGCCAATAGTATCAGCTGAAACAAGCAAGCAGATTGCTGAATGCAGATTCAAAATATTGAGCAGTTCTTGTAGTTTTCTAAGTTTTAACCTGAAAGTAAAAGCAGTTCTCTAACCTCTGTTTAAAAGCCTTATTTCTGGTTAAGGTTAGCCTTCTATTAATCAGCAAACTTTTCCAAATGATTATTTGGGAGTTTTGCTGGATAGCATTCTCCGCTCCTTACGAAACCGATTTCCCCCTGCTTGTTGATAACCTTTCCTAAGTTCTTTCCTCCTCAGTTAAGTGATACTTTTTAGAGGCTGGTTAACACCTTCATGCTAACAGTAGAAGGCAGATGTTCTAGCCAGTAGTGTATTTTCTTAACAAAGAACTAAAAAAAACCAAGATCGCCAGAAAGTACATATCCTTGACAGCAATTTTTGTCATGTAAGTAAACATCATTATTATTCAAATTTACTATGAGATATATGGTAATTTAGTTTACTACTAAGTTAGCAGCTGAAATATTTTGAAAGTCATTTCTTTAGATTAAATTTGAAGACTTTTTTTTTTTTTTTTTAAAAAGTCCTGTGCACAGCATTTTTTAGACTACCTATTTTTTTCAAAGAATATTATTCAAAATAAGCAGGGTCATCTTTGTTTTTTAAAGTGCCTTGAAAACTGCAACATTATTTACACGATTACTAAAAAACCTAAATTTTCTTATGTAACCTACTTTTAAATATGCATTTACTTAATATTATTTGGTCAGACATATTAGTGAGGGAGACAATCTCTTGCTTAGAGGCAGAGAGAAGAGAGAGAGAAAAGTAAGTGGCCAGTGATGTGCTCAACACGGACTCTGGTCTGATGTTAAAACCAAGCAAGCCCAAAACCACACTGCAAATCTGTCTTGGTAGTAAACAAGAACGGGGTTTCATCAGTTTGGCCATTATTCAAAAAACAAGAAAGGACAGCTGACTGTTTACAAAACAATTTGAGTTTCCAAACTGCATACCGCTGAGGCAGCACTTGTGCTGGATGAGCAATCAATTTGGAGCACTCCAATAGCCTAAATCTGACAAATTACACAGAGGTGGATTCAGAAGACTCCAGACGTTTCTGTAAACAGCTACATACATGCTTCATAAGACTCAGATAAAGACACCGTATTTAAAGTTTTAACAGATTGCAGAGTTGCCTTTATATCAGTTTTCACTTCATCCAGTCACAGTGCTATTTCACAGTTGCACAGACATTGTTTCAAGTAGACACTGCTGATTCAGAGAGGACAGAGGAATGGAGCAGCCCAGGTACGTTCAGCAACAAATGTAAGCAGGTTTTCACCATCTGTAGGTTCTCCCCTCAAAATACTAAATCAATTCACAATGTCAAAGTAGACTGCTGCCTAAATCTTTCACAGATCATAAATGTAAAAAATAAAGGATAAATTCCTTCTGAACAAAAGCTTGTACCTTTAATTATTCTCTTTTCTAAAACTAAGTAAAAAACTAGATACATTTTCATACACTACGAAGGTAATACAGCAGGCAGGCGTCACTCTGATCACATTGGGAATAATTCCTTTGTAAAATCCATGAATTCCTTCTCTCCTTTAAAGACACAGAAAAGCATTTGCTTGTAATGTACTTTAATAGAAATGAGATATAAAACAAGGTATGGTATTTCTCTCACTAAGAGAGGCACTTCAGGTGAAGAGTAACGATTTCAGAACAATTTTATAAAAAATGTTTAAAAAGACATCCTACATCAATTCTTGGGTCACCATTTTCTCTTCGAAACAAACAACAGGATACCTACCGTACATGAGTAGTTTAGCCTAGACGTTGGGGTTTTTTTGGTATTTTCTAAATTGGAGGCAATTTAGTATCTTTCTTCGTGCAACAAGAAGTGGTTAAAATAACTTACATTTCTGCAGCCTGTTCCAAAAAGCATTACATATTTAATCTCATGGAAGTCAACAGGGCTGAAATGCTTTGCGATTCTGGGCTGTGTAACAGCAAGTGAGCTGAGGGTCAACACCACTAAGATAAGTCAGCTGCAGAAGTTTGCATTCATTTTTAGAGGAGCAGAGCACTCCTACAGACTTCCAATCCCCCTGGCTACTAAGAAAGACTCCAACTCCTTCCAATTTGAATCACAATGTTCATGTTAGTTAGGGCTTCTTAACACTTAAAAAGTTTCAAAGACTTCTGTTTTCAGCTCCCTGTTTCCCAGCTTCATAGGGGTCTAGGACACCTGGAGTGATGACTATGGTCAAGGCAGGTTTTGGAAAGTGCTTAGGTGTGGTTTATGCTACCCTCCTCAGTGTTCTAGGTTGCATTTATTTGTTTCATATGAGTACAGTACTGGGCCCAGACTGGTTGAATCACGCTGTACCAGAACTAATGAGCCTTCCTGCAAACCACATCACTAAAGTGCACAGTGCTGAGACATCAAAGCTATTTTTTTACTAAAAGCTGGCTTCGGCCAAAATGTTTGTACCGCCCCGCCTCTGAGCCAGAGTTGGCCCTTGGACAACATAGCCTCATTCATGGGGCACCGCTTACTATCCCAGGAAGTAGGTGACTCCATTTGTGTTTCTCTTGGATTAAGTTGCAATCCACAAACATTGTTCAGGGCAAGATGAATATCGGTTGTGTATTGCAAGGGTGGCCAACCTTAGTAACTAGAGTGCTGTGTTAAAACCTTCACACGCCTTGTGAAGCTGCGGGAAGATGGTGTGGGAGAAGATACACACAACTGTGAGAAAATAATTCTCTATATGTCCTACAGGAAGCTGAGACTAGACTAGAAATGCATCTTGGCCCCATGGTAACCTGGGGACATTGGTATGAACAGCTCTGTCTAGCTCACTTCCTCCTGCCAGGAATTTGAATCAACCGCAACTCCCAAAAGCACAACCCTCCCATGGTATGTGTCAATCTAAAGCATGTAAGCATGAAATTTCCCTGTTTAAGAACCCCCAAATGGCTAACTCAATATTATTTTTTAACCTTGCTAATCTGTAAGAGAAATTCATTGGGAAAGGGAGGAAGGAGGCAGAATAAACAACAGAAGTCTGCAGGCAAGGACTGACCCTGACCTATCTCCTGCTTTGTCCTTTTATTTCAGTTTTTAGTGGCATCCTGCACAATATGACTTTGTGCAGCTACCATTTTGTTTGCTCTGAGCTGCACTGGTTCTGCAAGTCAGCAGCAGAGAGAAGCCAATAAACATGGTTCTGATGCTGTAAAACAGTGTCATCTTCCCAGATGTTTTTCAGATTTTAATTCTGCGTGCCTACCTCCATGTCCTGCGGATCACATCAAACACGCCAGAGTATGTATTATGCTGATCTTGAAGACGAGCTCGTACAACCTGATAGGGATATGTTGCTGACACAGCAAATATTTTGGATACGGCTGCCATTGTTATGTATTCCACAGTGTTCTAAAAGCAATAAAAATTACAAAGCTTGCTATAATATAAACTAGCCAATTTCACAGAATCTTATTTGGTTTTTGTAATCTGAGCTAAACAATACTCTAGATTTCTTCCCCTTTAAAGCACACACATTTCAAAAAATGGCAATGTTTTACCCAAAACCAGGACCAGCCAGTTGCTGACTTCTTGTGCCAAAAATGTGAGAAGTTGAACATGTTCTTCTTTCATTCACTCCAATTAACCTATCAGTACTTTGTAAGCTTGGTCGTTCTGTGATCTAAACAAATCTAATAAATTTTCACTTGCCCATAGGCCACAGTATGCTTACGTTCCCAGTAATCTTACCAGTTTCGTATCTGATAGTCTGTTCCTATACTTGTTGTATCTCAGTTTCAAGTCCTCATATGCCATGAACTGAAGTGCTCCATGTGAAGTTCCAAACAGACCAGGCACAAATCCCTTAAAAAGAAGGAATAAAACAAGGTTAAACAGCAATCCACAAAAAGCTGTACAACTTGCTAAAGCTCAGTTTACACACACACACACACACACACACACACACACGCGCACATCCACCTTTCCTTTACAAATTGTGAATGCAACAATCGTTACTGTGCAGAACGACTCAAAGCTCATGCGGGTTGGTTTTCTTATGGTAAGCATCACACAAAAGTGTATTAAACGTTACTCAATTCCACAGGACTTACAGACTAAGACACCTAATGAGTAAGCAAGATAAAATAAATGGCCTAGGGACTCCACCTAACAAAGCACAAGAATAGGTCTTAAACAGCTGGTGGCATGATCAGGACAGTAAGAATACATTCAAGTTACGTTCTTGTAAATGTGCTGCAGAGTGCCTGCCCCTTCCATGGGCTGGGCTCAAGCCCGTTTATTTCCCACCTGAGACTCTGACAGAAGCCAGTGTATCGGGTGAAGGCGGCCATCAGGATTAGAGGTACAGAAACCTCTTGTGAGCAAGTCCTGGCGATATACGTGTCTGTGTGCGTGTACACATCTACACACACGCACACATTTGTACAGTGGAAAGCTGAAGGGCACAGATGCAAGGCTTATCTCCTGTAAGGACTTTGTATGTATGTATGATTTACTTTAAATAAATAAATCCAAGACTTGGATCAGTTTGGGAGCGTTCCTCGCCCTGCTCAAAGCATGTCCCAGGGCAGCCTAGCAGAGGTGACTTTAGTTGCAAGAACAAAGCTGTAACCAAGCAATCTGGGAAATGTTCCCCATTGGTAAGAGGCAATATAGGAACATGTAAAGAAACCTTTTCTTTCAAAAAAAGTTGAAGTGAAGGGGGGAAACAAGTATTCTCTGAATTCTCTCTACAAAAAAGAAAGGGCAGGAGTTGCTGAAAATTAACAGCTGCATGGGTTCTGACAAGCACTAGTTCTCTTTTTGGAGAATCTATCACTTACTCTGGACAAGTACAACTAAATGGGGAATAAATCATCTTGGCTGAAAGTGACTTAGAGCAGCCAAAAGCTTGCTGAAAACTGTTGCAGAGGGACAACTAGGAAGCAATAAGTGATCAAAAGGTGGGTAAAAGGACTAGAAGAACCCACATTTCTCAGAAATCACTGGCATTGAACAGTTCCATCAGTTTTCACATGGTGAACTTTTTTTAATCCTCTGTCCTACCTGAATGGATCATAAAACAGATGTGCCCAGACATACAATTCTGTATCAGGCTAAATCAGAAGCCCGGAATGTTAAATACATACAGATCAATATACTACTAAGAGCCTGGAAATGAAGAAAAGGCAACCTGGCAGGGAACCATTTGCATTTCTAGTGTATAACAGGACAAAAAGGTAAATTACTTCATAAACTCCTAACTTGCAGAAAGAAATAAAACAAGAGGGATGAAAATCGCACAAAGCTTCTAGCACTTCAGAGATTAGCTTTCTGAAGGCTATAGACTTCTTAAATGCAAGGTGTTACACTCATTGAGGAAGGGTTTTCTAGGACTTCTCTTGGATAAATGAGGATGAATTTGTTATCACAGTAGAAAATAATGGTTATGAACTGATCAGTGATCACAAACTGATGAAATGCATTCGGGGGTAGCTAGCATCCCAGTTTGCAATCAACAACCTAGAAGCAGCAGCTTCTCCAAATACGGACAAATGGAATTAAAAAAAATTGTCTGCATTTTGTCAACTGTGAGCATAATGTTAGGATTTTGTAAAGTCTGAAGCCAAAGGGCCATAGTAGAGGGAAAGGACAATTTTGTTTTTCAGCGAATCCTGGTTCAAAAAGAAAATTAAACCAACAATAAATGTAAAAAATAGAAATGAATGAAGGGAAAATAAAAAAGTCGTCAAAGCTCAGGGTCAAGAGGAACCACGAACAGTAAGAAATTGAAGTATACTGATCGCAGTGAAAATCTTCACAAATGCATGCCCATGATTACACAGTACAAGTGTTAAAGATGCAGGAAATAATTGCTCTTTACTTGGAAAGAATTAGGATGAGGTACTGATATCACAGGAGAATGATGTCATATTTTTCCCACTAACAAGAGAGGAATGTTCAACACCACTCAGGAGTGCTAAACACTTAAAATTTAAGCCAGCAGATTTGGATAACTTGCACCCAAGACTCCTAAAGAATCTACTGATAAGATTTACTAACTGAATACCAGCACATTATGTTGGTGAAAACTTGCAGACGGAAGGTTTCTAATGGCTGGCCGGTGTTAAAAGGGGCAAAAACGGCTGAGAGTTGCCTGGGTTGTCATCAGCCCTAAGAAAATTAGAAGCTGATCCAGGCTTCTACTACTCAAGTAAAAAGGAGGAATTGAGTCAATGTGTTCTTAAAGAAAAACATTTCAAAACAAAACTGATTTCTTTTCAGTATTGAAACTATCTGGCTGAGGAGGAGTCTTTGAAAGACATTCCCACTCAATTTTCTTATTCTTACAAGTTTACACAAAAATCTTTCTTGCCACAAAGACAGATTAAATTAGATATTCTTCATCTTCCATAAGACCCTAAAGTGAAGATCAATTTTAAAATCATTTCACTTTACGTACTTCCTGCTTTTTTTTATTTTACTACTCTCAACATATCTTTAGAACATTTATGAGGACATGAGGACTTAACAGCATCAATTTTTGCTCAAAGAAGTCCTGTTTGATCTTCTTTTGGAGGGTTAGAACCTTATTTTTTTGAGTTTCTATACAATGCAGAATCCTCAAACAACGGACAGATTTAAATATATAATTAGAGACAAATGCTATAGTGTACAATTCTTAACAATAGACACTGGAAGAAAAATGTATTTTAAAGTTGGCTTAAAGCAGCTACAAGTGCAGATGATCCCAGGCAAGGGAAACACTGTCCAGTTGGTTAAAATTCCATAGGTTGCCAGTGTAATGAAAAGGAACCGAGACAAACACATACAGAGGAAAATCTGTGCAGGAGTGACAGGATTCACTATCTGCTCCTCAAGTTTCTCAGTAAAGTAGGCAACTAGGTTCCTTTGGTGATGAGGTATGCAAACCGCTATCTAAAGTGTTTAAGAGAGCTCATGCAGAGCAGCCTCTGCTACATACTCTGAAAGAATATAGAAAAAATTCCTTTTGTAATCTGTGTAGCATCGTCTCCATTTGGGTTGTTAGGGTGCCAAAGTCCAGTGGTAACTTACTCTGACATCTCGTACAGAAAGACGTTGGAAAGGTACCATTACATCTCCCTGTGAGCCTTAATTCCTCCAAGGTGAAGTCTGACACCTTCCCTTACGTGAGAGAAAGAAACTGAGGCTCCCTTCTCTTTTTCTCTGTAGAACCTGGGTCTAAATTTAAACTCAGGATGGTCAAATCTCAGAGTATTTTGCTACAGGCAAATATGAAGAGGTATAGAAGCCACTTAGGTTACAAACTTCACATTCGCTAAAAGAAAAAAAAAAAGCATATAAAAAACACAGCAAAACATAAGAGTGCTAAGTTCAACATTCATGGACTAGAAAAAAACTTTATTCTCAAAATATACAACCTTGCCTTCCAAAGGTGGAACTATTATACCTAAGTGTCCAATATATCTATCTTCATCTGGTAATGAAGATGTATCACTACTGGGATTTCTTTTGTTTTTAGCATACGGCATTACTATTCTCAGCCTTGACACTTCTTTCCTTTAATCTCCTTAAATTTTCTGCACTTATTTATGTTACAGCTGTCTACTAAGCATCGCTCCAATTGTTGCCTCCACATCACCACTGAAGCAAAATAACGCTAAAGATACAAATACAGATGCACAGAGGCCAAAAAGAATATTAGTTACCTTCTTGAGGTTTTAGTAATCAACCACTCTATAGAAGACAGCTAATCATTTCCCAAGAGCTCCGAGACATTTTTTCCTGAAGTTCCAACTCCTACAGTCTTATGATTATTTCATAATGTTTGCGCTATCCTACCTTACACTTAAATCAAGAGAAACATCCAAGATTCTTAATACAGTGGTGACAGCATGACATTCAACTTCATAAGGCAAAATAATTTGGAGAGCTCAGCTCTCCAACAGGTCTGACTAATAGGCTTATTCAAACTACATAACCCCAAGCTGATTGCTGGCAGCTTGGAGTGCACCAGAGGAGGGGCTCTTCCCCTGATCCTGAGGGATGGAGGCCAAAGGAAGAAGCCTATGGATGGGGGGTGGGAAAGATAACTAAATAGATGATTACTGGGATGAATTAGTGAAAGACAAGTTAAAGACTGACAGAACTCAACAGATCTAATAGATACAGCTTTAATCCCTGCTAGAAAGACTGAAGCATTCTGGTATCACCAGGGCTGTGTCCCAAAAACCTAAACGGAATTGCTCAGAACAGTAAAGGCATCTCATGCAACAGAGTGCAAGATATGTTTCTGCTCTTAAAGGAATGAAATAGCTTGGAGAGAAATCTCAGTTTTGGAAGGCTAATCTCAAATAAACAAGAAAGGTACTACTTCCAGATTTTATTTCCAGCCTGCAGTGGTATTCTCCCAGGTTTCCTTATTTGCTCTAAGAACTCTATCTGAAACTAAGATTACAAGGAAAAAGATGACATTCATGTGCGCTAAAAGTCTTGCAACTCACGATAATTATCAAAACTGCAGCCCTCAAAGTTCAAACACAGCAAGGAGAAAAAAAAAAAAAAATTAACCCCCCAAAAAAGAACAAAGCAACACAGCATGGAGGAAGGTTACAGTGGGGACAAGTCAAAGAGGTACCTGCAGAGGTGCTTTCTTCCCTAGTTTAGAAAAGACTGGGGGGATCCTCATGTCAGATGAAAGTTGTGTGATAGTTATTTAGGTCCCTCAGGGCATATCTAGGCAATCTTCCTTTCAGGACTGCTACTTCAGCAAGTAATTTGCTCTTTCTAAGGAATTACCTGGTGTAGCTCCCCCCACTTGCAGACTAATGCTACAAAGAAGTGTCTGGTGCCAAAGCCAACACATACTAAACGCATGAAAAATCTGAAAAGTAACTTAACAGAAAAGCAACTTAAATCCTAACAGAAGCAAGAAATTAGAACTTATCTACATGGAACAGAGCAGACATCCAGGCAGGCAAGTCAGAAATCCTGACAATTTCAGTTTAGGAATAAGTAAAGTATCTTGTTCCTAGTGCCAGAAGTTGCCATTCATTGACATGTGGCATACTAGTGTCTCAGCTTAGAAAGGATTATATTCTTCTCAGCGAAAAAAATCAGTTCATGTTCAGTAATCAGGACAATTCCTAACAGACAGTGTTCCCGCTCTATAGCATTACTTGCAGGAAAAGAGCCGAACTGAACTAAAACAGATTTCTTCACACCTTCCAGGTACTGATGACTATATCTCGATGTCATGGCCTGAAGGAAGGGGGAGGCACAAAGTAGGTCAACTCCAGTTGCCATCTGTTTCCCTAAATTAAGGGGAGTTAAAACAAAACAAAACACACATATGCAGACCACATTTAGAAGTCTGCAAAGTTTATGGATCTACAGATGACAGAGTACAGACCTGAATAACTACAGGGCAAATGAACAGTTGTGAAACCATCCATTATGGAAGAAAAAATTAACAGCTACCTTAGTCATATATTTATGTTCCACAAGACGTCCCAAAGACAGATATGGGATGAAATGGAAGAAAGGACTAGTAGCAAGACAGATTACACTCTTGCTGCCATCCTCATCCAAATCCTAATTATAGGAAGACCACAAAAACATTAAAAAGCAGATTGCAGCTTACTCTCATTTCAGCATTATCTCCCAATAGAAAATTGTTCAGCCATAAAGCTTGCATTCTATTTTTGGCGATTTTCTACATTTCAACGTTCCAATTGCTTTTCTTATGATTCAGCCTTTTTGCTGCAGTTATTTAGTAGGGAAGACGACTCACAGGAAAAAAATAAGTGAGCTTATACAAACAAGCAACTTGCAGTTTTTTGTAGACAAGTCTCAGCAGTACAGAGTGGCGACAACCAATTCTGGAATTTTTCTTAAATTGTATTACCTTATACAAGCCACGTACGCCCTCTTTCTTGTATATCTTCTTAAGAGCATCAAGCATTCCTTTGTACTGCCGCTTTGATGGATCAACACCAGCGTTATACTGTAACACAAGTCGAGTCTTCGTTACCCATATTGGGTTTGTAATACAGAGGGTCATGGCTCCTGAGAACAGAGGGAAATTAGACTGATTTTTAGGCCAGCTCCAAAGCTCGTCCCAGCTTGCTCAGTTCAATGCGCCATGGACTTCTACAATGACAAAACTACTCATCGTAAAAGAGTACTCGTATTACTTAAAACAGATAAACTTTAGGCACATCATTGCTCTCTCTCTCTCTCTCTGCCTTCAAAGTTCACAACAAAATCCAACCTACTAGTTGGACTAGCAGAGTCCATCCCCTTGTTTGCATCACCTTTCCACAATGAGCAATGTAATCTGTACTAGACAGGAAACTAAGTAACCTCATAATGTGCTCCGATTATCTCAATTAGTATTCACATACATAATTTTTCCAAACTTAATGGACACGTTGGTTACGAGAAATGTGCTTAATCATATTGCCAGGATAACTCAAGCGATCTGCTGCAGCTTTATAAATTATTAAAAACGCAATAGTAGAACCATCCATTGCTATTTTTCACGTCCAACAACGTGCCTTATTTTCAACAGGAAAAAGCTAGAGCGTCCTAATAAAAAGTCTTCTCCATTGCCTCGATTAGTAAGTATGACACAGACGCATATACAAGAACACGTATTAGAAACAAAGTAGTAGAAGTCATGGTGATAGAAAACGTATTTATATTTTGGATGTACAGTTTCTAAGAAAACTTGGAGCTTAAATTTAAAGATTCGTGAAGACCAATGACCAGGTCAGTTATTCTACTAAGTTCAACAGGCCTTCTCTTTTCCAAGTCTAAGTGCTTAACACTTAATGGGTTGGCAAGCTGATAATAACAGTTATATAGCTTATGCTTTGGGACTCAAAGTAGTACTAAATATAGAACACTTACACAAAATAAAAAACAAGGTCAGAAAACATTTGAACAACTACTAATTCTGAATGAAACTAAAGACCACAAACATTCACCCTAAACATCATTAATTTATTTATAGACAATATATAATTCCATTTGGACTGAAACACTTACACTTGTCACCTGTAAGAAAAAGTAGCACTGACAAAGGCAAAGCAGCATATGGACAAGCTAGAAACAAACATTAATCTTCTTTGCATTTAACTCACCAGCCTCCGCAGCTGACACGAGGTGTTCAGTTGCACTTAGACTTTCCAGCTTCCCCTCCTTTTTGTAAGCTTTGATAGCATTATAACTGGAAAATATAAGATGTATTTTGGTAAAGGTAAAGAGAAACATACATCGCTAAGAAACAACCCCCACATAAAATTCACTTAAGATCAGGGAAAACATTAGGCGTCACTCAACTTCCAAAACAGATGTATAAGCAAAGTATCTTTGTTTACTTGATTAATTAATTGCTGAATAGTTAATTCTTTCAAGTGAACTGCAGTAATACAAATTTAAATTGATAAGTATTACTCTCAGTAACAGTGTGAAACAGTTACATCTTGTTTACAGTTACATCAGTTTACATCTTGAAACAGTTATCGGATCTCAAGAATTAACTTCAGAGAAACTGATTAGGTAGTCCTCCTTTTATTAAAAGGAAACAGTGACAGGCATCTATTTTGTAGCTCAGAAATACAGGGAGCTCTCTCTCTCGACCCAGTTTCCAGTCCTGCCACCTGCTTTGTGGATTGAGAAGCAGTCAATAGGAGTTCAACAACGATCTAATAGCAAAGAACTTTGTTTGAGGAACAAAGCCTAGCAAGAACAGAATCTAGACAACTGATGAGTGAGCTTTGCACAGGCACACCAAATAACCATTCTCTAAAATGTTTCAACTAATTGGGGCCAGCAGGAAACCAGATCACAGTTACATAGCTAATAAAGTAGAAACGATCGAATATTAAAAAATTAAACAAAAACAAAAAACAGGCTTTATGAGCAAAGCACGTCCGTTCATAAAATAGGAAGAACTCACTGGCACTAAAATTATTGAAAATCAGTTAAACGTTTAGCTTCAGTAGACAACTTTTTATTCTTTAATTTTTTATAATCTTTCATAGTTTAGGTTCTTATTTTTCGTACAATTTTTCTTTTTCCACAGTTTTTCACCACTTTTAGAAGCTTCTTCAAGAACGATGTCGCAATCTCCCAAATTACTTAGTATTTTTGAAGCATCATAGGCATGCACTGTGCCTGACAAAGTAACAAGTTTCTGCCTCAAATGGCTTACGTTGTAAAACAGTGGACCATACTAAAGGGCAGCAGACTTGGACTTTCCAGAAGAATCACAAGTTTATAAGTCACTTAGCGTATTTTCATACCCCGCTTCCCCCAGAAGAAGAGGCAGCCTATATCTGAGGATTAATTACATAGGAAATGAAACATTTCACAGTTCTACTTACAAGAAAAAGTAAAGTCCCCAGGAAGCCCCAGCTCCCCACATGTTTGGAGTTACCCCTTGATACAAGCCTCGCAGTCCTTCATGCTTCCAGATAGTGGTCATACAGTGGAGAATCCCATGGTATTTTGGCCTCAGCTCCAATCCATCACTTACTATGTAACAGAGAGATTATATCGAAAAAGGTTTGAGGAAGTACGAAGTTCAGCTGTCTAAGAGCCACCATGTAAGTACGTGGCCTCCAAACAAAGCTGCAGTGAATGTGGAAACCTAACCGATTAGCTATATTTTAAAGGTATGCACGAGTTGAGGTTTAGAGCTTCAAGAGGAGCCTACGGTTAAAGAACTTAAAAAAAAAAACAAAAAAACCAAAACCCCCAGAACTCAGCTCTGCAAGAGAAAGCCCCTATAAATCTGACAAAATTAATACATATTTTTGGTGAACAGTAGCTTTGACCTAAAGTTTTCTGCCTTTTCTTTTTAACACTCCAGCAACTTCATGTTGTATTTTGAGTGATACTTGTGGGGTCTTCAGCAACACACTTCCATAAGGAGTTTGACTAAGCACTAAATAGCAACTCTTGAATTAAATCTTCTTCTTTTAAACGTTCTAGGAATATCCTTAACAAGTCATGTCTTAGTGACTCAAAGTGTTTTTACCAGAACACTCAAAGGTTATTCCACCATAAATTCTTGTTTCTCCTTCTATACTCACTGAATGGACGTGTAGGAAAACACACTTTTTAAACATGCACACTTCTGCTCAATAACTGAGCAGCTCTTTGTCAAAACATTCAGAAAACGTGACTGTTAACAAGACGAAACGTGTCAGTTTTGTTAGAGATGTTTTATTTAGAACACAGGTGCTGCTCATGCAGCTTAAAACATTAACTACTATTGCTCCTACAGCAAGACGGTAATATGGTTACCTACAGCATGTGCAGTACAGCGCATGGCGAGAAGACAAGAGGCAACAGACACGCATTAGAACACAAGAAATTGTGACTAGACCTAACGAATAACTTTTTGCTCCAGGAACGTCATCAAATATTGGAGCTGGTCACCCTTGGAGGCATCTCTGGAGCAACTTAAAACTCAGCTGGACAAGAACCTGAGCAAAGTGATCTAAGTAGACCTGCTATGAGCGGGGGTTGAACTCCACAGCTCCCCTCCAAACTGAAATATTCTACTACACTAATAACTGATCAGGAGCTTTCATTACTAGTATAGGCATAAGGCTAGACTGCAATTTTACTGAGAATGTCAAAGTTTTATACTCAGTAAAGCTCTTGTGTCCTCATCAAGATCAGTTCTGGCAGGCAAAAATTTCAGATATTTCTGTTTAATACTCTATTCATTATTCATTCTCCGTTGAACTTTGTGTACAATACTGCGTCGTGACAGACTCCAGCACTAAAGACAAAATGCTTTTTCTGGGCATATTTTAACAAAGCACCAACATCTTGCTAACCACTCAAAACTAGAACACCAACTGAACTCCTTTCTCATTCTTCCTGAGTTAGCACCATCGGTCCTTTCCCACATTTTTACCACCCTGCTATTAAATCTGGTTTAGAAAGACACCAAAAAAGGGGGAAATCAAAGATTTCAATGTAACTCTGTCTGGTATGATGCTGCTGAGAATCTCCGTGGTGTTCATTTCTGATCTCAGCCGTTACTTCCTGGTCGAAGACAAAGCATGGGAAATGTTATTTTCAACCCAAACAAGCACATGAAATTATCCCTGTCATTCCCCCTATACAGTCTGACCAAAAAGCTATCTGAAGATAAGGCAGAATAAGTTTAATATTGGAATATTAGTAAATAACTTAGGGATAGTACAAAAACTATCCCTGGGATAGCCACCAGGAACGGAAAGGACCGTTAACCACAACTTACATGGGGCTGGGAAGAAGTGCCTAAATGACATTTAAACTCAAAAGATACCAGCATGTTACTCCCTTCCATGACAAAAGATACATTTGCCGGGTATTAAAAAACAACACACAAGCTATTCTGTTAAAAGACAGAGTTCAGATCTCAGTGATTCAGAAGAGACTTTGGTAGAAAACCTACGAGCCTTGGACGAGTCCAACCAAAACTTGATTAGAATCAAGAACTAAAGTGAAACAATCATATGGAATCAGAATAATTTAGGTTGGAAGAGACCTCCAGACGTCATCTAATACAACCCTCTGCTCAAAACAGGCCTATTTAGATAGGTTGCTTGGGGACATGTCCAGTCAACTGTTGAGTATCTCCAACTTCTTCCAGCATGTGATCACCCTCACGGTAAAAATGTTGTTTTCCTAATATCTAATTGGAATTTCCCCTGTTACAACTTGTGTCTGTTGCCTCTTGTCCTATTGCTGAGCACTGCCAAGAAAAATCCAACTTCTCAGTAGCCTCCCTCTGATCAGGTACAGCAAAATGTCTGCACTTAGCTGTCTCCTTCTAAAGCGTGAACTGAACCAGTTCTCTCAGCCTCTCCTTGTACGTCATATGTTACAGCTCCCTGACCAGCTTGGCGGCCTCTTCTGGGCCAAGTCCAGTATGTCAATGTCTTTCTTGTAGTGGGGAACCCAAGATTGGACCTAGTACTTCAGATGTGGTCTCACAAGTGCCAAAGAGAGAAGGATCACTTCATTTAGTTATACTCTTAATAGACCAGAGTGTGCCCTCAAGACACACAAGAAAGTGCTTAAATCCCTGTTTTGGATTGATCTGATCACATAACGGAGCCTACAAGTAACAGCACATTTTGTAGTCTCTGGGAACAACACAAAAACCTACCTCGAGAAAGGAGACGAGGGAACCATCTCTTTTGGCCTACTGCCCGATTATTCTCAGCTGCACGGCTACTCTGCGAAAGCCTGTCATCATGCAACTACGCATAGACTTTGACCGACAAAAATTTGCAGCCACCGAAATCTTATCTGGCTGTACTCCCCTTTTCCTACCTCTCCAAAGAGAGTTTGTGGGTCACTGGCTCAGAAACATCAAGTGCAACAGGATTAGTAAATCTTAAGCACAACGTACGGTTTGCATTTGCAGCCGACAGCATTAAGGGCTAGCTCTGAGAAGAGCTCAGGCTTTTGCATGACGGCACACTCCACCTCCCCCAGCAGACGCCTTGGCCCCACACAGGCACGCTGCGACCTCGGCCTGCAGATCGGAGGCCTAAGAGCCGCAGCAGCTCCCGGCCGCG